ATACATCATTACAAAATGTGTGGGATACTAGCAAAGCATATATTAGAGGACTGACAATGACATATTTAGCAAAATGGAACAAAAAGAATAGACAAACACAAAAGAAATTGGAGGAGGAGTATAAGAAGTTAGAGATGGAATTACAGAAAAATCCACCTAATAAAAAGATTAAGAACTTGATGGACTTGCAAAAATATAAATTGAATTTAATGGAAAATGAAGATTTGGTGAATAAAATAAACTCAACAAAGCAAAAATTTTTTGAAAATGCAAATAAACCAGGACAATGGGTGGCATATAAAATGAAAAAGGAGAAAGAGAAGAAATTAATAAACCAACTATTAGACCAAGATGGAAAGATATGCTACCAAAATGAGGGAAAACATAATTGAGAAATGTTACATATCAGCAAGAGACAGTTGCAGAGAGAAAGATAGAACAATATTTAGAAAAAGCTGAAATACCTAAGATTTCAGAAAAATTCAAAAAGACATTAGAAGAAAAAATATCAATGATGGAATTAATGGAGGGAATTAAAAGACAAAAAAATGGTAAAACACCAGGACTGGATGGATTACCAGCAGAATTATATAAAATGCTTCAAGACATATTAAGTAATGTAATGTTGCAGGTATTTAATGACCTATTATTAGAAGCTAACATTCCGGACTTGTGGATGGAGGCATATATAACTCTTATGTAAGAGTCAGACCTACAACAAATAATTACAGACCAATTTCTCTACTAAATGCGTATTATAAAATTTTTGCCTCAATTATGGTTGAAAGATTGAAGAGACTGTTAAATGAATTTATGCACCCAGATCAGAATGTTTTTTTACCTAAAAGGCAGATTAGAGACAATATGCGAATCATCTTGAATACACTAGAATGTATGAAGCACAGTCAGAGAAGCAAATGGCACCGTTATTTTTAGATGCACAGAAAGCATTTGATAACATGAATTGGCAATTCATGATAACACAATTACAAATGATGGATTCTGGGAATAGGTTTATAAAAATGGTCAAAACTATATATAAAGGCCAATCGGCAAAGGTGATTGTTGTTGTGGTCCACCAGCAGCCTGCGGAGCTGGCAGCGGAGTCGGACAGCGATGAGGCTGAGATGGGTCAGTCCTGGAGGCTGGGGAAGGCCCAGATGAGGACTCTGCGTCAGAGGCAGAGATGGGGCCAGGGCCATCAGGGAGTGATGTGTGGACTTCGGAGCCTCCAAAAGCTGACAATAGAGAGGCAGAGGAACAGGAAGAGCCTGTTCCTAGTGCATATATGAGAAGAGCTGCCAGAAGGCAGGAGCAGATAAAACAGAGAGGACGACTCGGGAGTAGAGCCAAGAGATGATTGGCTCCTCCCATAAGGCTTAAAAGACCAGCAACGGCTCTTGGCCTCTTTGCCGGAAAACAACATTGAGAGAATTGCTTCGTTTCAATGTATTCATTTCTTGTCGGCGTCTTCTGCTTCTGTCAGTGATAAACTGAGGAATGGTGTTTTGAAGAATTTGCTTTAATTTAGTTTGGACTACGCTGAGAATGAGTTAATTCTCAGCTTCTGAGAATTAGACTTCTAATAAAGTCTGTTTGTTTTTGAACTGTTTGCATTTAATACTAACTACTTGGGCCTGGATCACAATAATTGTAAATGGTGAAATGACAGAAAAAGTGGATATTAGAAAAGGAACTAGACAAGGATGTCCGTTACCTCCATTATTATTTATATTGACATTAGAGCTCTTAAACAGAAAGGTAAGGAAATAAAAGGAATGAAAATAAAAAAAGAATATAAATTGCAAGCATTTGCGGATGGTTTAGTGTTTATTATGGAAGATCTTATAGAAACAGATCCAAAGTTACTTGAGCAAATAGAGGAATATGGAGAAGTAGCGGGACTGAACATCAATAAGGATAAGACAAAAATCTTAGTTAAAAATATGAGAGAAAAACAAAAAAAGGAAATAATGGAGAAGTTAGATATTCAAATAGTGAAGAAAGTGAAATATTTGGGTATTCAATTAACCTTAAAGAATGGGTTTTATTGAGAAATACAAGACTATTGACTTTGGAGGGAGAAAATTAGCAAAAATGTTTAAAGATAAATCAGCTAAATGTTGGAAATGTTATCAATCGCCAGGATCATATTATCATATGTGGTGGTCATGAAAAGAATTATTGGGTTAAAATACGAACATGGTTAGAGGGAATGCTATACCAGCGTATAGAGTTAAGACCAGAGATATTTTTATTGGGCATTTTACCAGAGAAATATGGTAAAGAAGATACATATTTGATCATTCATATAATAACAGTGGCTAGAATAGTATTTGCACAAAATTGAAAAGCAGAAAAAATCCCGTCAGAAGAAGAGATAAGAAAATTTTTAGAATGTGCAGAAATGAACAGATTAACATTAAGAATAAAAGATAAAGAGGAATTGGTGTATTTCAAGACATGGGGACGATTTTATGATTGGTTAGAAAAGGAACATGAATAAAAGACTAGAGATTAACAAATTGGAGATTTGAGAGAAAGGACAAAAAAGGAATAGAAACCCAGATAACACCTAAGTAAATGAAAAAGGGGGAAAACGAAAAAAGTGTTATTATATAAATGTATGTTAACGATGCTATATGCGTAACCAGCAAAATAGAAAAGAAATTGAAAGGAAAATGTATGTAAACAGAGAATCTGAGTTGCTCGAATACAATCTTGAAAATATATTGAATTAAAAATAAACACAACGAAGAGGGAATGGAGAGGAGTAGAGGGACAAATAGGAAGAACAGAGGATAAGAGAGGAAAGGAAAGAGAGGGACAGAAGAAAGGAAAAAGGAGAGGAAGAAAGGGAGGGGAAACAAGAGTAGGAGAGAAGGTTAGAAAGGGACGAAGAGAGGAGGAGTGGGGGAAAGGAAGGGGAAGGAGAGAAGGGGAAGGAGAGGAGGAAAGACGAAAGTGGAAAAGGACAGAAGGGAGGGAAGGGAAAGAGGGGAGAAGGAGAGGAAGGGTTGTTGTGAAATAAGGAAGATATGGAATGGTAGAAGAGCAACCCCGAATATACTTTAAATTTTTAGGAGGAAGACTGAACAAATACGAACATCAAAAGATAATATGTATAATTAATAATGGCTAAGAGATTGTACATTTATGTATGTTTATGAGAAATAAAAATAAAACTTTCTAAAAAAAAAGATCAGCGGTTGCTTAGAACAGACCAAGGTAGAAGCAACGGATGATTGCCCTACATACCCAAGAACACCTGGAGGGGGCGGGGACTGTCACGCCTTCTTATGCTGCTGATGTGCGGAAGTCAGTACAGCCAGCTTCATTTCACTACATACCGATGCTCTGCACTCAATAAAGGGGAGTTTGAATCTGCATGGTATGTAAGTGTGCTAATTCATCGGGGTGCATCGCTCAAAACTGTGAAGTTTGCTTAAGTTTGCCCAGTTTGCTTAAGACCTTAAGATTCAAGGTGTTGGTTGTCATCTTTAAAGCGCTCCATGGCTTAGGACCCGGGTACTTACGAGACCACCTTCTGCCACCGATAGCCTCCCATCGACCAGTACGCTCCCACAGAGAGGGACTCCTCAGGGTGCCGTCGGTCAAACAATGTCGACTGGCGACCCCCAGGGGGAGACCCTTCCCTGTGGGGGCACCTGCCCTCTGGAATGAGCTGCCCCCGGAGATTCGTAGGATTCCCGACCTTTGCACCGTTCGCCGCGTCCTCAAAACACTATTGTTTCACCAAGCAGGGCTGGCCTAAATACTATTTTAATGGGTGGTTTCTATTTTAGCTCTTTCGGCCAAATTATTTAATATTTTTAAATTGACTTTTAACTTTCATATAGTTGCGGGTTTTATTTTTGGCTGTACACTGCCCTAAGTCCTTCGGGAGAAGGGCGGTATAAAATTTTTAATAAAATAAATAAAATAAATAAATAAGAAAGACCATATTCACATCACCCAATTGCATCACTCAACATTCACCTTACAATCTTGTTTACTCAATCTTTTGGTGCTAGTGCAGAGAAAGACCACCCAGTTTGTCTTTATTCACTTTGAATCTGTCAAGTTCTCCTGTTTTTCTCACTATGGCTTAGTTACCCTTCTGGCTCCAAAACAATGGTTTGTATGTATGAGGGGGAGAGGATAACCTTACTGCACAATCCACAGTCCATTCAGAAACAGGAACTAGTCACAGCCACTCAAGTGGGAGATCCCAATAGCTCTAATCAAAGTGGCTGCATTCAAATGCTGGTCCAGACCTGGAACCATAGAGTTCATTAAGAACACAAAATTAATATTTAAAGGGACTTGCATTACAACACTTGTAAACAGAACCACAATCCAAAGAGTTGTTTCACAGAACTTTGAGTCATTTGGAAAACTGGCATATTCTATTATTTCACGGATTCTGAGTTTTATAGGTCTCTAATGCCCTTTTAGTACTTTCCAATGTCCATCAGTAACTCTGAGCTGCATTGGCCCCTAGTTTCCCAAAGGCCGCCTGTGCTCCAGTCAACCCTCCCAGCTGCATGCAGATGTTACATGAAACCAACATCTCCCAGATGTTCCAATCTTCCAAGGATCTCTACTACCTTTAGTATTGTGAGCATAAAACCATGGCTTCTAATTCTCAGTTGTGTTAGCTGTCCCAATTGTTTTCTGTATTCTTCTGTCATTACCCAGCTATTCTTTCTATACAGTAGTTTATTGCTCAATCATTTATTGGAAAATGAAAATATGACTATATGTGAGTATTAAGAATTTTGCATTGTTCATGGAGAAAAACTGTGTTTAATTGTGTGTCAACTTACTCAGTTTGTAATTTTGGTTATATTTCTTTAAAATGCGAACAGTATTTTTGTGAAAACTGTCTTCCTGGAAGCAAGCTCTTTCTATCTGCCCACTATATTATTGACTCAGAACGTTTGTAAATAATTTCCCAAAGACAGACAACAGATAATTATTTTCTCAGAACCTCTGAGTAACTCAAATTTTAAAGAAATAATTTTTATTTTGAAACTTTTATTTGAACAAATTAAGCATTTTCTAAGGACCATTAATTGCAATGAACATTTAATCCATGTATTTAATTTATTCTCATTCTAATTGAACCTCAAGGTGCCTTGTTTTGAATATTGTTACACTGATGATAGATCCAATCTGGGTCGGTCATCGGGAGCAGAGGTTTTGTCTTCTGAGTTTTCGAACTCATGCTGGTGCCCATTATCAAGGAACTTCTCTTTATCAGAATGTGTGCTGTTCTGTGTGTGGTATTGTATGTGGCTTTTTAGATGTTGATTGGGGTGTGTTGATGGCTGGCTTGATGGTTGATAGCCAGCCACCAGCACACCCCAATCAACATCTAAAACCCACGTAGAACAGGCACCATATAAATACCACACACAGAACAGCACACACTCTGTTAGAAAGAAGTTCCCTGAAGATGGGCTCCAGCAGAAGTTTGAAAGCTCAGAAGACAAAACCTCTGGTCTTGGTGACCGACCCAGATTGGATCCTACAACATTATCCTGGGACATGTATACTCCTTCATTTGTGACTGATAATATTGACTGGGGTGTAATTATAATAAATTGACTATCAAAGTTTAAAGTATGTAGTAAACATTTGATTTAATATCAAAGCCTTGGTAGTACAGTGGTCTAAAGCACCCTGTTATTAAGACCAGCTGCCTGCAATTTACTGCAGGTTCGAATCTCGCCAGGCTCAAAGTTGACTCAGCCTTCCATCCTTTCTAAGGTAGGTAAATTGAGGACCCAGTTGTGGGGGCAATAAGCTGACTTTGTATAAATATACAAAAAGGATGAAGGCTATTGCTTAGCACATTGTAAGCCACCCTGACTTTATATATACTTTCAGACTTCAGATGCAATGATTAAAATCTGTACATGCATAAAATCCCATTCACCATTACAAACATGCATAAAATCTCATTCCAATTTTATGTTTTTAAAAAATGCATAAAATATGCATAGGTAAACTTCTATTCAGAATCAGCAGACATCCTGCTTTTATTCCTTTTAAAGAGGTTTATTGATACCTCTTTCTCCCAATGAGACCATTAAATTGAAGGTTTACTGCATTGGGAAATTACAGAAGGACCTAATAAATTAGATTCTTCTATATGAAAAAAGTTGAGGCAAAAATATTATGCACATAATGTGTATGAAACTAAAACATTTTTGTCTCTACTTTGGCAATAATTTAATTAATTTTAAATTATTTGAGGGGTATGATTCTCACTATTTTGAATGCTCATTGTGTCAAAAGAGTTAAGATAAAATATGAAGTACATATTGCATGTAGCGTCTGCTTTTAAATATACCTGCAGTGTATACGCAACCCAAATGGTTTTGTAGTTCATACATACTTTACATGAGATATAGCCAGTGGTGGGATTCAGCAGTTCGCACCACTTCGGGAGAACTGGTTGTGAACTTTCTGACCAATTTGGCAAACTGGTTGTTGGAAGAAATTATTAGGGCAGAGAACCGGTTGTTAAATTACTTGAATCCCACCACTGGATAGAGCTACTGTAGTTATATTTAAAGTTCCTTATACCATGTTTATCCTGAAAAATTTGGCTTCTTAACAGTGTTACAGTTAAATTATAGTCAGCATTAATTTGATCTCAAGGATTAGCTTTTTACTAAAGCTTTGGTACCAAAAAATTAAAATTACTTTGTTTTATAATAATCTGAAATATCAATTCACCACACCAGAAACTAAAGGTATTTAAAAACTATCATACCTTTCGTTACATTTGCATGTAAAATAGTTATGTTTTAAAAGAAATACACTGTATTTATATGTATTCAGACTCAGCCTTCATTTCATTAAGTGCTTTGCACAGTAAATGCAAATTTAAAACAGTAGATAAAAAATGAAACAGTATCAGTAATTTCAAATTTATCAGCAACAGTAGACAGAGCTAACATATGCGCTCAATATGATGCATGTTCAATTTTGGCCCACATTTATTTATTGCCATATTTAAATATTCCTTACTAGTTATTAAGAAAATTTTAAAATGAATAAATGATCTTAATAGAGCTTTCTTTTTAGTATCAAGATCTCGCTTCTGAATATATGGTACAATTTCAAAAAGAGATTGTTGAAAGTTAAACAATTTTTTTTATCCAACATACATCATTTTCTTGCTGAATGGCTGAACTTTTCGTTTAACAAAGAGGATTGTTTTCTTAATCAAAACAACATGAACACAAGACAAAAAAACCCCTCTTTTTTGGTGGTGGTGGTTGTTTTAGGAAAACATCAAGGTGCGTTCATGGCCTTGCAATTCATCTCCCATCATCATCTTGCATAGCGCTTAATGTAATCTTCAACTTTAGTTCGGAAGTCCTCCTGTATGCAGTTGAAAAATAGATATGTTTACAGAAACAATAACAGCCCTATACTAATGTGTCTCCATTAAAATTCCAATACATAGCTTTCATTCCAGACAGAGTAAATCTTACTGCATGATGATTTTCTCCCTGAGAGACCTTATATTTCCTGAGGAGAAAAGCTGTTGAAAGAAAAGGAACCTGTAGGGCAGGGATATCAAACCCGATCACATCATGGGCTGTATCGTGACTTATTGGGATGTTTTCTTCCTTTGCGGAGCAGGACTGGGCATACAGCCCATAGGTCGCCAGTTTGACAGGCCTGCTGTATGAGATAGAAATAGCTATGGATCTTGCTACCACAAAAAGGAGTGCCTTTGAAATTAGCTGCTACTTGTACTAGATGTTTGCCAAGAGAATGTAACTTTTTTTTTTCTCAGCTAAGATTCATCGTTACATTCATCACAGGAAGGTATCTTAATGGTTTACTGATGGCACCTCTGTCTCTACCTCAGCCTCTATGGAGATAGTTCAAAGTTTTTTCCTATTAAATCCTTTCTCTCTTCTCCTTATACAAATTGTGTCATAAAATTTATGGGGCCTCAGTGATGATGCTGGAGAGGAATCTGTTAATACAGACTGCTTGAATTTGCTATTGAACATAATTCTCCATGTCTAAAGGAAAATTATTAAAGGAGCATGTCTACATGGACATGCTATAGGAAAGGCACGCTTCCTAGTTCCCATAGAGTAAATTGTTTAAGGAAAGGGACTAGGAGCCCTATCTGATCTAGTAGGATGAGTAGATGTCCTTTGGGAGAGGTGGTCCCACAGATAACCTGCCTTTATAAGTAACTCAAGGAAGCAAAAAAGGGCCAAATAACTCCCTTTTCTCAAGGCCAGCACCTTTTTTTACTGCTGAAACTCAGAAACAGTTAACTCAGAAACAGTTTTCAGGCTCTTGAACTTGGAATGTTCATTCAAAGGAAGAGAGGAGATGTAAAAGGATAGCCAAGATAGTTGTGACTCACTAATATAATAAATCTAAACAAAAGTTTCCATCTAGACCAATCTCTTTGTGAAATGTGCAAAGCAGAAACCAGTCAGTCTGATTCTGATACTCTAGAGGGATTGACAAAGAGATCATTTAGTTAAAATTTTGAAAACTGTAAAATAATAAAATAGAGTTTATTGTGAATTGGTTATGCGGAAATCTTTTCAGATTAATATTACCTCATTTTTGCTTGGATAGCTTCCTTAACAGTTTGCGGAAAGGGCATAGTGGTTAATTTGCACTTCAGCAAATTCAAAAGATATGTGTGCTGATAAACAACTTGATAAGGTAATGTCTGGAGATGTGAAAATTGAGTACATACAGTGCATTCAGAAAGTATTCATACCCTCTTCACTTTTGTCAATTTTGTTATGCTGCAGCCTTGAAATTCTTCCCCCCCCCATCAATCTACACTCAGTATCCCAGAACGACAAACAGAATTTTAGAAATATCTGTAAATTTATTGAAAATAAAAAATTGAAATATCACATTGGCATAAGTAATTCAGACCCTTCACTCAATACTTTGTTGAAGCACTTTGGCAGCAATTACAGCCTGAATCTTTTTGCGTATGACCTGACAAGCTTTGTACACCTGGATTGAGAGATTTTCTGCCATTCATCCTTGCAAATCCTCTCAAGCTCAGTCAGGTTGACAGCCATTTTCAGATCCCTCCAGAGATGTTCAATAGGGTTCTAGTCAGGGCTCTGGTTTGGCCACTCTAGGACATTCACAGAATTGTCCCTAGGCCACTTCTGTGTTGTCTTGGATATGTGCTTAGGATCATTGTCATGTTGGAAAGTGAACCTTCAGCCCAGTCTGAGATCCTGAGCAATGTGGAACAGGTTTTCGTGAGGATATCTTTGTTCTTTGCTCCATTCAGCTTTCCTTCAACCCTTCCCTGCTGCTGAAAAACACCCCTACAGCATGATGCTGCCATCATCATACTTCACTGTTGGGATAGTATTGGGCAGGCGATGAGCAGTGCCTGGTTTTCTCCAGACATAATGTTTAGAATTGAGTCCTTGTTCAATGTTGGTTTCATCAGACCAGAGAATTTTGTTTCTCATTGTCTGAGAGTCCTTCAGGTGCTTTTTTGCAAAGTGGGCTTTCATATGTTTTGCACTGAGGAGAGGCTTCTATCTGCCATAAAGCCCAGATCAGTGGAGGGCTGCAGTGATGGTTGTCTTTCTGGAACTCTGTCCCATTTCCACACACACTCACTAGAGCTCAGTCAGAGTGATCAACAGGTTCTTGGTCACCTCTCTTACTAAGGTCCTTCTCCCTGATTGCTCAGTTTGACCAGGCGACCAGCTCTTGGAAGAGTCCTGGTTGTGCCAAACATCTTCCATTTGAGAATTATAGAGGCCACTATGCTCTTGGGAACCTTCAGTGCAACAGAAATTTTACTGTAGCCTTCCCCAGATCTGTGCCTTGCAATAATCCTGTCTCTGAGCTCTGCAGGCAGTTCCTTCGACCTCGTGGCATTTGCTCTGCTACAATATGCATTGTCGGCTGTGACACCTTCTATAGAGACCTTTCCAAATCATATTCAATCAATTAATTTACCACAGGTCGACTCCCATCAAGGTGTAGAAATATGTCAGCAACGATCAAGAAAATGAGAGGCACCACAGCTAAATTTCACGTGTTGCTGCAAAGGGTCTGAATACTTATGCCAATGTGATATTTCAGTTTTTCCATTTTAATAAATTTACAGACATTTCTAAAATTCTGTTTTTACTTTGTATTTATGGTGTAGGTTAATAAGGAAAAAAATGAATTTCAACACAACAACAACTAGGATGCAGCATAACAAAATTGACAGAAGTGAAGGGTTGTGCCAAAGGATAAAATATACAAAGAATGGTTGCAGGAATTAGGTTTGTCTGGTCTAATGAACAGAAGAACTAAGTACGACATAACAGCAGTGTTTTATTCTCTAAAGTACCTGAAGGGAGAACCAGAAACAACAAATGGAAACTTATCAAAGAGAGATCCAACCTAGAAATAAGGAGAAATTTCCTGGCATGAGAACAATTAATCAGTGGAATGGGTTATAAGTGCTCCATCACTGGAGGTTTTTAAGAAGAGATTGGACATTTGTCTGACATGGTATAGGATCTTCTGCTTGAGATTTTTTAATATTATTATTATTATATTTTTTATTTTTAAATATACATCCATATTGTGTGTGGACAGAGTGTGGGTATCATTCATATTAATCCAATTCACAATAATATTAGTATTCTCTAGCACATTTATCAAATTTAAGTAATCCTCATATTATTTAAACATACATAAAAATGCCTAACATCTATAAACTTCTAATCTTTCTATCTATTATTTTTATTCATTCTATAAGAATTTATATTCTAATATTTTCCCTATCTAATTTTGTTTCTGCCTCTTTCAGCTTACAATCAGGCTACTTTAATATTTAAAGGGCAATTCTTTCTATCCATCATCTCTTCTCCTCTTTAGTGCTTAAATTCTTATCCATTTTTTAATTCGCCTCCCACACTCATCTTTGTCTCTATCTTCATCTATATTTTTCTTGTTCAATCTAAACCTTTCTCCCAGTACAATCTTATACTGCCAATTCTCTCAGATATCTGGCCATGCCCAATTTCCTTATCAAGGTCTCTCTTTATCCTGTCTCTCCAGTTGTCGATTTGTCTGTTTTATTTTCTTCAGTCTTTCTCCTTTTATCAGCTGGTATGTCAGTCCTATTTTTTGCTCCAGTCCTTGATTATTTGTTGATGTGGTCAATCCATCTGTTCTCTCCGCCCCTTTTGCTTGCCATTTATCTGGTCTTCCTCTTCGTCGAGCTGTTGCTTCATTTGCTGGATTTTCTGATCCATATTTTTCCCCTGTTCGTATTCAATTTGCTGGCTTGAGTAATCCATTTCATCTAGACTTTCTGTTGCTTCCATCAGTTCATGGGCAGTTTGATATTTGTTTCTTGTTCTTTGCAAAATGTTTTCCATTTTCTCATCTATACCATCAATTGAATCCATAATATTTTGGAACAATGAAGTCATCTCATTAAAAAGTCCTCTCATTTCCACAGCTGTTCCTTCAACTCCAGTCATAATAGCAATAAAGGTGAAATAAACAATAAAGTCACAATCTAATTCAGAAAGAGTCCAAATTTCCAATCATTACTACATGGGGCTCTCCTCTCAAATTTCCATGCTACCTTTTTCCAGCAGGTATTTATTTAACTCATTTATTTATGAGCCTTGGTGGTGCAGCGGACTAAGTGCTGTTATGTAGCACTTAGCTGCCAGCTGCCTGCAATTAGTGCAAGTTCAAATCTCACCAGGCTCAAGGTTGACTCAGCCTTCCATCCTTCCGAGGTAGGTAAATTGAGGACCCGGATTGTGGGAGCAATAAGCTGACTTTGTGGAAACACCGCTTATGGGGGGCCAAAAGCCCTAATAAGCAGGTATATACAAAAGAATGAAGGCTATTGCTATAAGTGCATTGTAAGCTGCCCTGAGTCTTCGGAGAAGGGCGGCATATAAATTGAATAAATAAATAAATAAATAAATAAATAAATAAATAAATAAATAAATAAACTAACTCAAAATCCATTCAAAACAAAGTCCATTATTTAAATGGGCCAGTTCCAGCATTTACTCAATACTCTGATAGTCCCAGGTATTTTCCAAGTTCTTTAAGTCTGCTCTGTGGTTTTGGTCTTTTATTCTACCTTCCCAGAATTCTCTTTTTGTAAATTTCCAGGAGTCTAGGAGTTACTTTCCGCTTCATCAACTTACTTTCAGCATAGATTTCTTAATCAAAAATATTTTCTTTCACCGCTCAAACAGTTATATTTTTAGAACTTCTTCTCTAGGATTTTTTTTTTTGTTTTCCTTGGGATAATTTTTAAAGAAACAAAAATTCATCTCAACCAGAAACAATCTCTGTTCACTGCTCTCTTCGCTCCTGCACTTTCTTAGTTGTTCTGGCTGTCTCCAGCTTCATGGCAGCCATGGTGACTGTTGCTGCTCCTTGTCTTCAGATGAGGGGGATTTTCCAAGTCAGGGAGGAGAGACATGGTGCTCCTTGACCTGCAAGCCGCCCCCCTCCTTACTTCACCACCTCTGCAGGGTGGCTATGGTTCCTTTTGGAGCCCTCCAACGGGGAGAGCTTGGAGCAGGGCTGCAGAGCTTGTCCTTGCCTCTGACGCCACCGGAAAAACAGCCGGAAACCTGAATACTTTCTGAATGCACTGTATGTAAGGGTCCTTTTTGTAAACTTTAGCTTGGTATTTAACACATTATGGGGTACTGAGTGTAGATTAATGAGAAAAAAATAATTTCAACAACTGTAGAATCAGGCTGTAGCATAACAAAATTGACAAAAATGAAGGGGGTCTGAATACTTTCTGAATGCACTCTATATAGTGTAGCTGTTTCTCAATCATATTCAGAATGCCCACTTATGGCTTCCCGACAAACTGGAGACAGATACCAAGTAGGATGCCACAAATATCAGTCCTGTGTATTCTTCAGTATCTTTAGTAAGGACTTGGATAAAATGGCTGTTTTAAATAGGGGGAGTGACACTGAGGATTTTTTACTTTTAAAAATACATATTCTCCACACTAATTGTGTCTGCAGATAATCGACCAGCAACCCACTTTAAGGTGAGCTGTCTCCTCCTGGGGAAGGAAGAGACTGAAGTCTACCTGAAGAGGCACACTGAGGAATTTGCAGATTTTCTGGAAGACATAATCGCACAACTTGGTTCCCAGTTAAGAGGCTGGCATGGTTGCTGGTCTAGTGGCGGCCTTGGGGCAGGTTCTTGCCCTGTTATCTGGGAACGGTTTGACCCTGTTGCTCCTGAGGAAGTGGACAAGATCATAGGTATACCCCTATGATCATAGGCAAGCACCTGTGTTTTAGATCCATGTCTCTCCTGGTTTGTGAAAGCTTCCCAGGAGGTGACAAGCAGGTGGACTTTGGCATTGATTAACGCTTCCCTACAGGAGTGGTTAGTGCCCCAGCACTTTAAGGAGGCTGTAGTCTCCTTTCTTCTCAAGAAGCTATCACTGGATTCCACTCTGTTGGATAATTTCCAACCTGTCTCCAATCTTCCCTTTTTGGGGAAGGTGGTTGAGATGGTGGTTGTGTGGCAGCTACATAGATTTCTGGATGAAACGGGTTATTTAGCCTTGTACCAGTCAGGATTCAGGCCTGGATATGGGACAGAAATGGCATTGGTCACATTTTTTGATGATCTCTGATGGGAGAGGGATGGGGGTAGTGCATCCATTCTTGCTCTACTGCAGTGTTTCCCAAACTTGACCCTTTGAAGATGTATAGACTTCAACTCCCAGAATTCCTCAACCAGGCATACTGGTTGGGGAATTCTGGGAATTGAAGTCCATGCATCTTAAAATAGCCAAGTTTGGGAAACACTGCTCTACTGGATCTCTCGGTGGTTTTTGATACCATTGACCCCTCCTTTTGGAGGGGCTTTGGGGGTTGGGGGACCCTGTGCTACCCCGGTTCACTTTCTTCCTCTGTGGCCTCACAATCAGTATTAGTAGGTGAGAGATCCAGCCCTCGTCCACTCCTTTGAGGGGTCCCCCAGGGCTCGTGTCATGGCCCTGTTGGAGCCTGGGTCTGAGGAGGAGGAGATGGAACTGGAGCCAACGGAGGGGGTGGGTGCAGCCCCTATGGCCTATGAGGTATGACCTGGGGACAAGGACGAGGCAGTCCTGGATCCCTCAGGCTTCAGAAGAATAGGCAGGCAGGAAGAGATGATGCAGGCAGACCAAGGAAGGAGAGAGTAGATGGAAAGGACAAGCAGTGGAGCAGAGGAGGCGCGGAGCTCCAGAGACAAGCAAATGCTTCCCCACCCAATCCCCGAGTGCAGATAATGGAGAGGAGGCAGAGTCAGTGCAAGGTGACCCGACTACTGGGGAGGAGGACGCCCCACCTCTCCTCACGAGGATCAACTGAAGAATAGCATTTAAGGAGACACTGTGGGGAGAGGCAGCAACACTCTCCACGGCTTCTAAAAGAACTTTGCTCTAGAATCCTTTCGGTTGTTGACTGAAGTCTGATTCTTTGCCTTGATGTTGGTGGACTTCCACTGCCGGGAAGTTGTACAAAGTGTGTGCAGGCTCATAGGTTCGAGCCTTGTTCTTGGACTATAGGTGTACTCTGTGGGCAGAGACTTTGGGGAACAGACTGGGAATTAATGGATTGTGGGGATTTGGGGGAATGGTGGTTGAATAAAGGCTGACAAGCTTTCGCCTAGCACGTGTTGCTTGTTCTGGGTCATAACAGCTCAGTACTTTCTCTGCTCTTATTCAACATCTACATGAAGCTGTTGAGTGAGATCATTCGTCATGGACTGAGATATCATCAATATGCTGATGATAGCTGTATGTCTCAGCCTCCAGTGAGTTAAGCGATGCTGTGACCTCCCTCTCACAGTGCCTGGAGGCTGTTAGGGGCTAGATGGGGAGCAACGGGTTGAAACTGAACCCTGGAAAGGCCAAGAGGGCCTTAGCACAACTGCAAGTTGTGCGCCAGTTACACCCTTTCCTGGACCAACAATCCCTCCTCATGGTCACTCATGCCCTAATCACCTCATGTCTTGACTATTGCAACATGCTCTACATGGGGCTGCCCCTGAACAGTATCCGGAAGCTCCAGTTGGTGCAAAATGCAGTGGTCCGCATGGTTTTGTGCAGATCTTGGTGTGCACATGTAGCACCTTTTCTGTGGGAACTGCATTGGTTGCTGATTTGCTTCTGGGTGCAATTCAAGGTGCTGATTGACACCTTTAAAGCCCTTCATGGCTTGGGACCAGGTTATCTGAGGGACTGTCTCTTGCTGATCACATCTACCCAACCCACTAGAGCAGGGAGGCAAGGAATGTCGTGGGTCCCATCCCCTAGGGGGATACATCTGACTGGACACAGAAGGGCCTGCTCTGTGGTGGCTCCCCCTCTCTGGAACATCATTACCCCACTGGCCCCCACTCTAGCACTCTTTCAGAAGGTGCTGAAGACGTGATTCTGCCAGGGGGCCTATGGAACCCAGAGCGGAATGGAGCCCATTAAATGGCTTGAATGAATGTGTGCTGTCGCCAGGGAGGGGGGTGTTATTATTTTATTATTTTTCTTTTTATTTCTTTTATATGGTGTTTTTATATCTGTGTAAGCTGCGTTGAGTCGCCATGTGTGAGTAGGCAGCAACATAAATTTTCATAAACAAACAAACAAACAAACAAACAAACAATAAATAAATAAATAAATATTCTTGTTCCAATTGGCAACTTTAAGTTTGACTTTGGGGCTCCCAATCTAGATTCACACAAGAAAAAAAAATACTGTCATGGCCCTCCTAATTTCAGACAATGCTCTAATTCTCATTTCAGATAATCAGCTTGCTCTAGTTCTCCAAAAATATTGATGTTTTTGTTGCACATTGCTACTTAATTGTCATTCTGACAATTCTGCAGAAAATTAGTCTAAAATTGCAAAATCTTATAGCTATACCTCCTTCAACATAGCTACTCAAGCCAACTCAAGAAATAGAAATTCCCATTAGACAATTTTTAAATTCCTTTAAGCAATAATTTTTTTCAAAAGCATAAGCATGTAACATCATGGCTGTCTGTTGGCTTGATATTCTTGGTGTACAATAAACTGTCAGGTTGCTATATCTCCTTTAGATCTTAGATCCATTTTAGATTCATGATACCTTGAAAATATTAATTTACATATTTTCCTTTCCAAAATGACCAAATTAATCTTTAAGAAATGAGCAGTAGAATTGTAATTTTCAATACACTGCTACTCACCTTGTCACGTAAATGATGTTCTGCAGCTTCAATATTTAAAGGATCATCAAAATTCAAGAGATCCTAAAAAATACAAAATAAGGGTTTTTTTTAAAAAGGCTTGCTGTAAATTATGATTGTTTGGGTCTCTATTTCTTGAATGGCAGCTTTGAACAACAAGCCCAATTTCAAACTGAAGTGGTATCTAATATCCTTGGAAAATACATTTTGTTGGGCTGTCAAAATTAGCTCATTGATGGGTTTAAATATTCTATGTATGGATAAAATACATGGATAAGTATGTATGGATAAAATGACACTAATTCATATTTAATCTCTAAATATATTCAAGGGCTATAGAAGGTCACTTAGTAATTTGGGGCTCCTTCATAAATTGCCAGTGTGGAAAAATGGGAAGATGGGGCACAACGTATGCTGCCTTTTGGCTCCCAGGGGAAAGATGGGGTGAATGAATAGATAAATAAGGGCTTGGTTTAACACTATCACATTCTACAATCAAGTTATCAGACCAGTTTTTATTTCTCCAGGCCCTAGTATGCTATTTAACTCAATATAGGTAGTCCTTACCTCACAATTGAGCCCAAAATTTCCGTTGCTAAGCAAGACAGTTATTACGCGAATCATGTCCCATTTTACAACCTTTTTGCCATGGTTGTTAAGTGAATTACTATAGTTAAGTGAATCATGAGGTCAATACTCTGGCTTCTCCCATTGATTCTGTTTGTCAGAAGCTCTTTAGGAAGATTGCAAAGGATAATCCAAGGACTATGGGATGCTGAAACCATTATAAATACATGCCAGTTGCCAAGCATCGGAAGTTTGTTGGGTGAAAATTTAGGTGTGTCTTATAGACCGAATATGGGCGTTTTTGGCCTCCTGAACTCTCTGCACGTCGCGTTTTCGCCCTTCTCAGCCACCAGAAGCACTCTGCAATGCTCCACATGGCCCATTTTCGGGCTCCCAGGCCCTACGCATGTCACATTTTTGCCCTCCCCAGCCCCCAGCAGCACTCTGCACGCCAAAAAAAGACACGTTTTGGCAAAAACAGGCCATACGGAGCACTGCAGAGTGCTTCGGGGGGCCTGGGGGCCTGAGAGGGCAAAAATGCGACTCACAGCGGGTTCGGGAGCCCAAAAAGGGCCCATTTTGGCGAAAATGGGCATTGTGACACACTGCAAAGTGGTTCTGGGGGCCTGGGAGAGAGAAAATCCAACGTGTGGAGGCAAAAAACTTGTTTTCTTGTTTTCCTCCTGTAAATTTATAGTCCAAAAAATACAATATATGACTGTAGGGATGCTGCAATGGTTGTAAATGTGACAACTGGTTCTAAGTCATTTTTTTCACGGCCATTGTAAATATAAATGGTGATTAAATGGATGGCTATTAAGTTAAGGACAAAGTGTAATAATTATTCACCTTCATTTGTCTAGTAAGATGTTAGCATAAAGAAAAAGGACAAAACATGTACCTCTAGAGTTCTTTGTTAGCTAATATAGCTGAGTGAATAGAAGCAGGGCAACTGAATCAATTTCACCCTCACAAGCTCTACAGTAAGTGGATAAGCAGAAAAATAATGGAAAAATCTAATAAATACAATTCAAATGATTGAGATCTAAAAGTGATTTAAGTTTGGGAGTTTGCAATGTGGTACCTGTGGAATATATGCTTGCTAATCTCCTGACATACCTTCTCTTGTAACCTGACAGGCCCTGACTCTCCCATCACAGGGAATCTCATGGCTAGTCTATCCCTTCCAATAATGGAAATACAGTTAATCCTTGAGTTACAACAGTTCACTTAGTGATCATTCAAGTTATGACATTAACACCCCCCACCCCATCCCAAAGTACTTACGAAACAGTCCTGAAGTTACGAATGTTGCAGCACCATGGCAGTCGTTCACCCTTAGGAATGATCAGAGGCACTACAACATTCACACTGCCTATCTCCCTCCTCCCCGGTCTCGGTCTCCATGGGGACTGGGCCTATGGAGACTCAGTTACCTTGCAAAGATTTAGCAAGCCTCTCTGCCATGGTTTCTTTGCCTGCTTCGTTACTTCAGGCCTTTGGTGCATTCACAGAGAAAAGAGGCCTAAATGAGATCACACAAGATCAGTAGTCCGAGATCTCACACTTTAGGCCTTTGTTTTCTGCAAATTGAGGCCTGGACGAGATCTGCGGCAAAAGGTTTTGCAAATGGGGGAAGGCTTCAGTGCTTCAGGCCTTCCCTCCATTTGCTGTTTTTTTGCTGAAGCCTGCAGGACTGAGAGATTGTGTCCCTGTAGGCTCCAATTGTCTTAGCAAAAAGTTTTTGCTGGCAAGAACGGAGCCCGGGAGGGGCCAGCACATCCCTCCAGGGCTGTGTTCTTGCCAGCAATGGCTTTTTGCAAAGGCTTGCTAAAGCCTAGAGGGAGATTGCATCCATCTTGGCTCCAGTCGTCTTTGTAAAAAGCCCTCGTGCTGAAAATGGAGCGCGGGAGGTACACTGCAGCAAGGACTTTTTTCAGTGCAAAGGCTTTTTGCAAAGATGATCGGAGCCTAGAGGGAGATTGTGTTCCCTAGGCTCCAGTTGTCTTTGCAAAAAGCGTCCTTCCCAGACTCCATTTTCAGCAGCAGAGGTTTTTGTAAAGAAGATCAGAGCCTAGAGGGACACAATCTCCCTCTAGGCTCTGGTCGTCTTTGCAAAAAACCCTGGTGCTGAAAATGGGGCAGAGAGGACACAGCTCACTAGATCTTCACAAGTTCGTGAGATCCAGTGTGGCAGGATGGGGGAGAAGCAATTGTGGGGAACATGAGATACCTCATGTTCCCAGGAGAGTTCTTTTTTTTTTTTTTTTTTATTGAAAAAGTTTTTCAAATACAAGTTTTTCCCCCTTTTCCTCCCTTCTTCCCTAACCCCCCCTCACCACCCATCCCCCCCTGTGACTTCTTCTTCACAACAATAAGCTAATTCATAATTAATTACATAATATTTTACCATGCCCTTACTCACTCCTCAAAGTACTGACCCTTAGCAAAGTATTCTTATAACTCCGCTTTTCTCCGCTTTTCACAATCTACCCTTTTTCTCCTCCCCCAAACTTGTAAAATATTATTATTATTATTACAACAACATAACCTTTACTTTTATATATATTATATATATTAATTTAACATTTCAAAGCAGCCTTCTCCAAATTTAACATTTGTTCAGTTCTATCCGATTCTTCCACTCCCCAAAATATATGTCTTAAAAATCCTTTTTCTTAAACTAATCAATCACTAAACTAGCCTATTTCAACCCAGTTTCCTGCAAGATTACCATACACTACAATTCTAAATATAATCCACTGCCCACTCTACTAAAATATACATATGTCTATATATACATTCCATTTTATAAAAAAAGACAATAACTTTAAATTTATAATTCATTTAGTATCTTCTTTGATGTCTTTCCACTAGATTGTTAAATCCATCATCCATAATAGGGTAACATAGCATCCTGGTGCAACAGTTTATTCAAAATCTTCAGTCATCTTCTGCCCCCATCAATAATAAATATCCTCATGTATATATAAAAATAAAAACAACCACCCGAGTGACATTATAATTATATTCCATATAGTTGTAATTGTGGTTTTCATCAGGATTATAAATCCCCATCATCTTTGTGGGTAACAGCCAGATCTTCTGCATGCCCCAGCATGACTCTCTTGCCTTGTAACTCAAAATAGATATAATATATTTATCGGTAAAAGAAATCCAAAATAGATAGTTCAAATCCAACAATGTAAGGCTCTTTCCACATCCCAAAATCATGGCATTGCAGAGATCTGCCACTTTCCTCAAGATAGTATTAAACGATAATTCGCCTCCAATATCTTTTCACATGTTCATTTATTTTTTTAAAATCCCTGGCTTCACTGTTGCTTGATTTAGAAACTACTATTTCTACGAAATCTGTTTCTTTTCTTTTTCTTTTGCGGGTTGCATTTCCATCCAGATTTCCTTCCTACAAGTTGTGTATCAGCTGATCGGTTGTCATTCTGCTTTGTAAATTGATCTTGTTGGTTTTGTTTTATTATCCCATATGTCTTTTCCTTCACTTGTATATCAACTGGTTGATTTACGCACTTGTTTGTAAGTTGATAGTTAATCACATTAGAATCAGATGACACTGCTCTCAAATTTATAGACAGTCCAGCTGGGGTATCCAAGGAGTCCAAAGACAGTTTATCTACCACAGCCTCTGTAATTTGATGTTTTCCCTTTATTTCCAACTCCTTTTGCTTGTCCTGTGTTATGCCTAAAGATGTTAAATTTATTTTTAAAATTTTTTGATAAAATTCTTCCGCTTTTTCGACAGTATCCAGTTGGTATCTTACTCCTTGGTGTCTCAATATTAAACCAACTGGGACGTCCCACCTAAATAGAATATTCCTTTTTTTTAACTCATTCACTAGAAAACCAAATTTCTTCCTCTCCATTAACATCTTGGGCGGGAGTTCCTTAAAAATCCAAATCTTTCTTCCACGAAATTGCAAAGCAGAATCATAAGAATTCTGGACAATATTATTTCTAATTTCTTTGTCTGTAAAATAAATCACCACATCTCTAGGCAATTGCCTTTGTTTTGCCAACCAGGAGTTTATTCTATAAATTCTGTCAATCCTGCAAAACACTTCATCAGGTTGAACCTTTAAAATCCCAGCCAGAATTTCAGAAGATATCTTCCTTAAATCATCTCTGTCATCTTCCTGCAAACCTCTCAGTCTAATTGCATATTCTGTAAAATTGTATTGGATCATTAAAACTTCTCTTTCAATCCTCTGTTGTACATTTTCTTCAATAACAGTCTTTTGATCAGCCTCCATTTTAAGTTTGTCTTCTGAACTATTATCCTGAATGTTTGCCAAATCCTTTTTAATTTTTTGGATCTTGTCATCCAAATTCTCCTCAGTTTCTTTCATTTTAGAGTTAGTATTTGTTTCCAACTGAGTCATAAAGTCTGCTAAGCCATTAGCTACTTTTAAAATCTTTCGATCCAGAAAGCCAAACTTAGATTTCACCAATTCACCAAT